GTATGTATGTATGTATGTATATATAAAGAAATATCTCCCAATGAGCCATTCACACAATGGACGCAACACAGCTGAATGGGAAATAGCCTTATTCTCTTTTTTCCAATTCTTCATAGCTACCACACTTCCCTTCTCCCAAAAAATTGTAGCATCATTCCAGAACTAGGAGGTTGTTTAGATTTCAAGGGTACTTCCTACACAGCACCAAAGGATTTTCACCCTAGTTCCAAGCATGCATGGTTGCATCATGGAGCTAAGATGTATCTTTTTCTTAGCCTAGAAAACTGCAGAATCATATTCCCAGACTATTGAGATGGGTTCCTTGGATTAATTGGGAGGAGTTTACAACTGAAATGGACAAGCCATGTGTCTGTCTCATCTCATGTTGGGCAAAAGTATTGTTCTTCTTTGATTTTATCCCCATTCATCAAGGAATGAGTGAAAATGGAAAAGGAGAGATCTTTGGTGGCTTGGAACCAGAACTTTAATGAATTCAGGTCCTTGGGGAAAAGGAAAGTCATATTTAAAGAAAATGGAGAGAAACCATCCTTCTCTTTTTCATCGCGTTAAACATTTTGCTGAATTCTTGCACCATTCAGAGGAAAGGAAGAGGAAAAGCCTTCCTTTTTTGCTGGCAATGACAATTTTCTGAACAGGACCATAGTTGGCCCAGCACTAGCTTCTCCTCCTTTTCTTCTTTAAAAACAGAAATATCAGCACAATTGCAGGTTCCCTATTCCAGAATTGTGTAGGGCTAGCCTACTTGGACTGCAGAATTCCAGATGACCACTAGACGCTAGCAAAGTGTTAGGATTCTCTATATCACTTGGCTGTCCCAAAGTCTGAAGTTTTACAGCACAGATGTAGTAGATCTAGGATTTCAGTCCCAAGAAAAACAAAATTAATTGATTATCTGTGAAAGGATAGTTTATTCAGAAGTAAACATAGCTGTGTTCAGTGAGATATCTTCCTCTTTTATAACTCAGGGAAGCCTTGGAAGAAAGGAAAGGATTTGCTTTGCAGGACTGACAACCAGAAAAACAATTGAGGGAAAGGAGAATCACTGATAACTTGGACAGTTTTAGAAATGTGGATGGATGGATGGATGGATGGATGGATGGATGGATGGATGGATGGATGGATAGATGG